AGCTGGTTCCACAGAAGAGGGGCCTGAAAACTGAAGGCTCTGCCTCCCATTCTACTTTTAAATACTCTAGGAACAACAAGTAGTTCTGCAGTGTGAGAGCGAAGTGCTCTAATAGGGTGATATGGTACTACAAGGTCATTAAGATAAGATGGGGCCTGATTATTTAAGACCTTGTATGTCAGGAGCAGGATTTTGAATTCAATTCTGTGTTTAACAGGGAGCTGATGAAGAGAAGCCAACAGGCTAGTCCCTGTCATTACTCTTTTTTCAGAATTTTGGATTAATTGAAGGCTTTTCAGGGAGTTTTTAGGACTTCCTGATAATTATTAATTACAGTAGTCCAGCCTGGAAGTAATAAGTGCATGACCTGCAGCCTAGAGCATCTTGCTGCTACATGCACTTATGGACACTCTTATGTTCGAACATGGTTTTCATGTTCAAACTGTGATTTGGCCATATGCCACTCTGAGACGGGATATTTCTAATTTTAGAGATGTTGCGCATATGGAAGAAAGCAGTACTACATATTTGTATAATATGTGCATTGAAGGACATATCTTGGTCAAAATGACTCCATGGTTCCTCAGTGTTACTGGAGGCCAAGGTAATGCCACCCAGAGTATGAATCTAGTTAGTTACCATATTTCTAAGATTTTCAAGGTCAAGTACAATAACCTTAGTTTTATTCTTTACTAAGAAGCAAAAAGTTAGAGGCCATCTAGGTCTTTATGTCTTTAAGACATTCCTGCAATTTAACTAACTGGTGTGTGTTATCTGGCTTCGTGGATAGACAGAGCTGGGTGTCATCTGCATAGCAGTGAAAATGTATGCTATATCTTCTGATGATACTGCCTAAGGTAAGCATGTATAATGTAAACAGAATTAGTCCTAGCACTGAATCCTGTGGAACACTGTAGTTGATCTTAGTGTATGAAGAGGATTCTCATGACTGTAGCGCAGTACCTGTAATACCTACAGCATGTTCCAATGACTCTAATAGGATATTATGGAGAACAGTATCGAACGCTGCACTGAGGTCTAGCAGGACAAGCACAGAGATGAGTCTACTGTCAGAGGCCATAAGAAGATCCTTCGTAACCTTCACTAAAGCTATTTCTGTGCTGTGCTGAGCTCTGCAACCTGACTAAAACTCTTCAACTAAGCTATTCCTCTGCAGATGATCTGTTAGCTGTTTGACAACTACTCTTTCAAGGATTTTTGAAATGAAAGGAAGGTTGGAGATTGGCCTATAATTAGCTAAGACTGCTGGGTCTAGAGATGGCTTTTTAAGTAAAGGTTTAACTTGGTTTTACTTGGTATATAGTCGATTATTAGAGATAGGTTGATCAGATTAAGATTGAAGCATTAATTAATGGCGGGACTTCTTTGAGCAGTTTTGTAGGAATGGGGTCTAAAACCATTGATCGTTTTGAGGAAGTATTTATTGAAGTTAACTAAGAAAGATCAATTAGAGAAAAAGACTCTAAATGAATATCAATAGTACAAAAAGTAGCTGTAGATAATATTACACGTGTGATTATGGGCTTGTAGAGAAGTCCAATAAAAAAAACACCTCTCGGGTTCAGATCAGGGAGCCCGTTCCTCCCAATCACACCCCTGCAGGTCTTGCTGTCATTACCCAGATGAGCATTGAAGTCTCCCAGTAGGTCGACAGGTGGAACACCTTCCAGCACTCCACTCAGAGATGCTAAAAAGGCTGTGTACTATGAAATGCCACTCAGCGTATAACCACAGATAACAGTCAGGACCCGTTCGCCGAACCGAAGGCACAGGGGAAAAACCCTCTCATCCACCAGGAAGAACCCCAACGTACAGACAGCAAGCCGAGGGGATATTAGAACTCCAACCCCTCTCCAGTAGACTGGTTCCAGAGCCCAAGCCATGCATCGAGGTGAGCCCAACTATATTGAGCCGGTACCTCTCAACTTCACGCACAAACTCGGGCTTCTTACCCACCAGGTGACATTTCATGTCCCGATTGCCTGTGTTGGTAGCCGGGGATCAGTCCGCCAGGGCCTCCCCTCCTGCTGCCACCCGGCACACAATGCACCCGACCCCTACGGTGCCTCCTTCGAGTGGTGGGCCAGCAGTTGGATAGGCCCATGTCCCCTTTTCAGGCTGTGCCTGCCTGGACCCCATGGGCTAAGGCACGGCCACCAGATGCTCGTCCTCAGGCCTGGCTCCAGGGCGGGGCCCCGGTAACCCTATCCCGGGCAGGGTAAACTGTTCCCTCTGTGTTATTCTCATGAGGGTCCTCTGAACCCCTCTTTGTCTGGTCCCTGACCCAGGACCAATTTGCCATTGGAGACCCTACCAGGGGGCAAAAGCCCCCAGACAACATAGCCCCTGGGATCCCTGGGACACGGAAACCCCTCCACCACAATAAGGTAGCGATTTGCGGAGGGGTGGCTTGAAGTGTTTTTATGAAAATGTTGGACTGATCCTTTATCAGTGTCTAGCAGTATGAGTATGAGAGCCATGTAATATCCATGTGTGCATGCTGAAAGAGACTTTGCTGGTCTGATCCTCCTCCTCCTTTCAGGGTGGAGCCTGCTGGAGTCCGATGGTTGAGACCAGGTCTGAGGAAGTGTAAGTGTGTTTTTAATGTGATTCATGAAAACAAAGCAGCACATTCAACCATCTTAAAACAGTCACATCACTCATTCACATCTCTGATGTGAGGAGTCATCATCAAAGTGTCAATCAATGAACAGATGATGGATCAATAACTGCAGTTGGATTGTGTTTGTTCTCTCCATCAGATTCCTGTCAACTCACAATCGACACAAACACAGTACACACACACTTCAAACTCTCTGACAACAACAGGAAGGTGACACGTGTGAAGGAGGTTCAGCCATATCCTGATCATCCAGACAGATTTGATATTCGACATCAGCTGCTGTGTAGAAATGGTCTGACTGGTCGCTGTTACTGGGAGGTCGAATGGACAGGAGATGTTTATATATCAGTGAGTTACAGAAGAATCAGAAGGAAAGGAGGCAGTGATGACCTTGTGTTTGGATGGAATGATCAGTCCTGGAGTCTGTGGTGCAGTCATGGTCATCCTCGTTCTGTCTGGCACAATAAGAGACAAAAATCCATCTCCTCCTCCTCCTCTTCCTCCTTCATCTCTAACAGAGTAGCAGTGTATGTGGACTGTCCTGCTGGCACTCTGTCCTTCTACAGAGTCTCCTCTGACACTCTGATCCACCTCCACACCTTCAACACCACATTCACTCAAACTCTTTATCCTGGGTTTGGACTCTGCTTTGATTCCTCAGTGTGTCTGTG